GCACCACACAAGTGCCTCATGCCACCATCTCAATGAATAAAAGCCCCTGCTCTTTTTTTTCTTAATTTTTCCCTCCTTTCCATTCCCTGCATAGATAGCTAATAGATTTGAAGTTGCCATATATTTCATAACCACATTTCAAAAGCAAAACAGAAAAAAAAAATGAAAACCAAAACAAAAAACAGCATTTCCATTGTGAAGAAAAATTAAATCAAATCCTAGTTTTCTATAATAGAATTTGCCTGGAATGCCAGTCTGTATTTAGATTCCCCAAAACTCATTTTTCCATGACAATAGCGTCAACGTTCACTGCCGAGGTTGTATGAACGTGTGTTCGTGTGATGTAGGAGGAGGCACATGGGTTAAGCAGGGAAGGATCTAAGAATACAACACGTCTGCTGGTCAGCAGCACAGAAGAGTCTTACCCTAAGCCCTGCTGATCCAGCTTGGGAGAAATGAGTCCAGACTAAGTCCCCACACTCTCTACCCGCAAGGAAGAAGGTGACATTGAAGAACAGGCCCACAGCTTCGGAAATGGTACGACATCATCAGAAACTCACTCTGTCGACCTACTAGCTGTTTGGATGGATTTCTCTTTTTGTACAGAAAAATGTTTGGAGCCAGGACACATGGTTTTCACGTATTAATGGCCATGCTCATAGGTAACTCATTCTTTCCTTATTACTTATATAAGCTAATTTGTACCATCATTGGAGTTTTTAAGATGTGTGTTTAGCAACGAATGTTTAATGCTATGACAGATATTACTATCAAATGAAAATTAGAACTTTTGAGTAGGGAAAAACGGATATACTTATGCACTGAACCCTTGATCTTACATAATTTCTTCTTGGATTTCTATTTATTAAAATAGAAAAAATTTAGGTCAGTTAAAACAGATCAAGCTAGAACTTACTTATTTGTGTCTAAGTCTTTGTAGAAGTAACTTTCTACTAGCTATTTCATTAACTGTGACTTTCAAGAAGGTGCACATTATGGCAAAATCATCTTCATCTCCAATTATATTTATATTAAACCTAAAGCCTATATCTTTTTTATCCATTAATTTAATTTATTCTGATGAAAATAAGAGATATACTAGATAGTAGAAATTTTTCCTGTCATGATTATTTTTAAAATACAGTATTATTTTAGAATCAAATGCTGAACTGAAAGAATTTTAGAAAAATAAAATGAAATGACAGCTTTTGATTAATTAAATGAATCGACCTCACATAAAATAACAATAAGCTTCAAGTAATCCACTCCATACTATAAATATCTGGACATAAACAACCAATTCATAGTTAACTAAAATACCCAAGTAAGAAGACTGAATGGCCCAGATAATCCCGTAAATATTGCCTAATCTTTTTATCTTGATTGACAGCAGATTTTGTTCTTTGCCCAGCTAGTCAAATAACCAATAATAGAAATTTTGATCTTTTTCCCCCTTTTAGTTTTTGGGGTTCATCAGATAAATATGTCTGACCTCATTTTACATTGCAGTTGTCAATAGAATTGATTTTAAATGAGGTAAAAGCATAAATCATAATTTGTCATTCTCCTTTGCATACCTAGTTCTGTTTATTGTTCTTCAGACTATTAACCCAAAGGCAGGCTTTCTTTCCTCTCTATTTTTCTTTTATTTTTAATGATGATAAAAATTTAAAACTAGCTTCTCCGTTTATATTTAAAGGAAATACATAATCAAATTATTGGTAGCTATTTTGTGAAAGATCAAATTCAGAAACAGTAGCAATTATAAGAAAAAATACAGTAAGCAACAGTCAAGAAAGCACAACCATCCACACTTATGTGCCGACCAAGGATAAAAGAAAGAACACTGTACATTTTAAAGAAATAATCATCCAATTTCAGGCCGTAATGGTCTTAATAGCTGCCTAGCTGGTCTTCCTGTCTTTAGTTTCTTCTCACTTTGTTCTGGGTTACGTTTCCCTGTGAAATGGATCCTTATGAGAAAACTTGTTGGTCTTCTGTTCAACAATTACCTGTTATTAGCCACTGCCAGAAAATCAATCAATAAGTAAGTAAAAATAAAATAAAACAATAAAAATCTTAAGTTCCCAGACCCTCTCCAGTCTGGCTACATCTCACCTTTATGAGTTGATTTTTCTACATTAATCCTCCGTGCTGATCAGACGGCCAAACCCATTGTCACCTCTGAATGTCTTAAGCTTTTCCATTGAGGAGTGTTTTGTTTATGCACTTATTTTCACATACAATGATGACTTTGTTAATCTGATCAGTACTTGCAATTTTATATTAAGTCCTATCTCCATGAAACCTTCCCAGCCCAGCCTTAAGAGACACCTTTCTTCAGAGGTTCTGCGGCAGAGATTGCCTATATAATTAACTTAGAATCCCTTATATACCACCTAGTAGCATCTCTTCAGTGTTATCTTGACTTACACTATCATTACTTTTTCACAAATTTGTCTTACTTTTCTATTAAACTCATCGAGGACAGGGACTAGTTAATATTCCATGTTATCCACATTTTGTACATGGTAGATACACAATCAGTATTTGCTTATTTGACTTAATTTATAATACCAAGTTTTCATATCTAAAGATTTAGCATTATTTATCATTCAAAGCCATTTCCCTAAAACTTCTCTAAATATGCTCTAATGTAGCCTGTGTTTAGATTCTCACTTACTGTCCACATCCATTGGGAACCTGCTATGGACAATGTATTTTCATAAATGTGCATTTTGTCATTCCATTATGTGGTGAACATACTGAGGCCTGGTCTATGTCTTCTGCTTTGTATCTTGTGCAACACTGAGTAGGACACGGAGCAGGTGTTCTGTAGATTCGAGAGAATGGCGAATCGAAGTTGCAGCTAAGGGGTCATGGTGTGGTTGCTGCCAGTTGCCAAAGGGAATTATGAGAGAACAAAATGCAGAGTGTCAAAATACACAGGCCTCAGGCTTCTCCAAGGCTTCTGTTCATTTCAGGGGTACGTGAGAATTCTCGAGAGGCGATTTGAAGGTGGTGGTCTATGAAGAGACTTGCCGCTGTGCCCCACCCCATCGAATTTAGGGTTGGAAGCTGTGTTCCAATGCAGCAGAGTGAGAGGAGCTTCAGGGGACCCTCCACTGTCACCCACACTTAGGAGGAATGGGCTACTCAGACTAGATTCTCCTCCTGCCTGAGGACTCTAAAGACGAAAGGTGACTCTTAACCTGAGGCGGCAGGACAGAGAGGAAAAGAATGGCTGCTGGGCTGCAGAGCAGACGCCTTCCCCTCCGGCTGCAGGTCAAAGTGCACGCATCCGGAAGTCCGGATGGGGACCCTGATAGGAATCAGTCACAGGCCGTGTAAAGGGACCCTTTGCCACAGGCCTCTGCAGAGGCGAGGGGACCCCCGACAGAGAGAGCTGGTGAAGGAGTCAGCGGTTAGCAGACCCATAGCCAGTGGCCGGGGGAGGGAGCACGAGAGCAGCGTCAGAGGAGGGGCAAGGCCTGCCTCCCAGGTCTCTGGAGTGAGTCTCAGAGGGAGGAACAGCAGGGTGGCTCCCAGGACTCAGAAATGTCCCCTGGAGCAAGTATCAGCTTTTTTTTTTTTTTTGAGACAGAATCTCACTGTGTTGCCCGGCCTAGAGTGAGTGCCGTGGTGTCAGCCTAGCTCACAGCAACCTCAAACTCCTGGGCTCAAGCGATCCTCCTGCCTCAGCCTCCTGAGTAGCTGGGACTACAGG